ATGCAATAGAGAGTTAAATCCTGGACAGGTTTGTTTATTTATTTTGAGTTATTTATATTTAGCTAATGAATTAGTAAACTTTATAACTAATTAATTTAATAACTAATATTATTTAATAAAACTACTGAAAAATTTTAAAAAAACTTTCAAAAATTTTTTTTACTGCAGTTGAAAAAATTAAGAAAAAATGGAGCAGAAATTACTATTATGAAAAAAAATGGACTTAACTGGAAATGGTCACTACCAGCAGAGCAACTTTTTTTTCCCCAGTCTGATATAGTCAATTTTATTGAGGAACCAAAGAAAATTTCGAAAAGAGGGATTTATTCAGTTCCAGAACTTTTTCACTAAATTTTTTAAAACATTGTTTTTGTCATTTTTGTTTACTTTATACCTAAACTGCTTGGTTTACTTGGTACCTATACTTGTTTAGTTCGTACCTATATTTTATTTACTGTACACAAGAACTTTGTTACTAAATCTTTTTTTGTCACTTTATTTTTGTAAATTAATTTTCTTTGCTTAAATATTGCTGTTTTTATTGTTGTTTTGCTTCCTTTAGTTCCTTTTTACAGGGTTGGGCCAAAGTCACCCTAACACATAGGGCGACTTTGGCCCACCATTTAAACCACCCAAAAGATACTTCAGGTAAATAATTTTCAAATGGGAGACAGATAGTTCTAATTGTCCTTTCTATGCACTTCTAAAAGTACTTTGTGTTTGAGGAAATAACTTTTGTGGCTTTCATGCAATAGACATTAAGATACAAAATGGGCCAAAGCCACCCAATCTTACGGTAGCTCTTTTAGCTATTAGCAAAGAGATTTCTTTTTTTATTGTTAAAAACTTTTTTTTTTAAAGTAAATCACTTCGCTTATGGACTGAAACTTTTTTCAGTTTGTTTGTCGGTGGTTCAAAATTTACTGCATCATTATTTCGTTTTCTGTCCAGTCGTACAATTGCAAGTCTCTTTTCGTACACACTTCTTGAAAGTATCATTTTTTCGCATAATTTCTTATTAATTGGAGACTTTAAAAAGTTTTGACGATGGTATTTAAAAAGTTATGACGATGGTAGAATAAACGGTAATCGTAAATAAAAATTCTGTTACAAAAGCTATGAGAGAAATCAGTTTTTAATTTTCGACAAATATGAGAAATATCGTTAAATTTAAACTCTTTTGAGATTAGTAAAATCTAATTCTAAAGAGCAGTAAAACAATGTTCGATCTAAGAAAAAGAAATTTGGTATGACCTTTAACTAGTAGAAACTTCTATTAATCTTACAGTTACTATAATACCGTTGTGTAACATTATGGTCGTGCGGTACAACTTGTTTTCGTAAAGGGTAAAAAAAACTTATAAAAAAAACTTATTATTACTGACTAAGATTAATTACTTTGTTAATAATAAGTTATTTCATACAAATAAGTGTTATATAATAAAACTATATTCTAAACTATAAGGATTTTTTTCTATGTAATTATTTTAATGAAATCTAAACATATGTACTTTGACTAAAAGTCAAGTGAATCAAATTGCTTTTAAATGCCATTACTAGGTTTTTAAAAACATCGCATTTTGAGGCACGTTTTCTTTTCAATTCAAAAACCATTAGTTTTTAATTCTATCTTGTTTTGAAAGCTTAACAGTTTATTACTTTTTTGTAATTGAGGTTTAAAAAAAATAGGTTGTCTTTGGCCCACTACATAGGGTGACATTGGCCCGGGCTAAAGTCACCCCATGTATTAGAGTAAACCTTTTTTAGTGATCATTTATAGATATTATGGTAGTTACTATGTTGGACTGAAAAATGTACCTTGACTAAAGGTCAAGTGAATCAAATTGCTTTTAAATGCCATTACTAGGTTTTTAAAAACATCGCATTTTGAGGCATGTTTTCTTTTCAATTTAAAAAGCTCCTGTTAAAATTAATTATATTTTCTAAAAAAAAATCATTTTTTTAAAAAGATTTAAAAATATGTTTGTTTTTTTAAATATAAACGATTTAAAAAAAATCATTTTGTTAAACCTTTTAAATTTTAAATCACATGAATGATCACGTGAATCATTAATAATGCCTCACCTTTTGTTTATCATAGTTAAAATAAACTTAAAATTTAAACTATATCTAACGAACGTTTAAACTTTTTTAGTTAATGAACACGGAGATTTTTTTATAAAAGAAAACTTTGTATTGTAAATTAAGTTCAAAACATTTTAAACACTGAGTGGAAGAACTAATTGTAGAAAACTAACTGTTTACAGAAAAATAATTCAATATCTTTTTACTTTTATTTATTTATTTTCTTTTTTAACATATTTATTACTAAAGATTTCAAATTTTTTGTATTTTAGAAGTCTGGTGTTTATTATTATTATTAGTTCCTTTCTTTTTACTGCGATTTAAGTATGCTCCGAAAATAGTTAAAATAAATTTCATTTATATTTTCCAAAAGTTTGTGTTTTACTGGTAATAAAATATTTACTGAAAGAAGTTGCCAAGCAAAAGTCTCGGATATATTTCGGTTTATTTTGCAAAATTACTACAAAAAAACCAAAACGCTCAAATAACGCCCATGGGATTTCAGTTATGGTGGCGCCTCTGATCTCTAACAACGCGTTAAACGTTTATCTATTTGTATATGTTTGGTGAATTGAAGCAATATTTCATTATCCATTATGTATTTAAATGTATAAGTGCATGTCTAAAAAAGTTTCCGCATTGTTTAACGGCTTTTATATATAGTTTTCTACTTCTTCTTTGACTTTATCTTCTTCTTATTATTATTATTGTTAAAATTTTATCATTATCATTATTCTTTTTTTGATGAAAAAAACTATGTAGTTTTTTATTCATATATACGGTGAATAAGGATACTCTTAAACTGGCGTAATATTATAGTAATAAAAAAGAATGGACGAAAGCACGCCCCCTCCCTCCTTGTTAACATCTCTTTGTAAATTCCGGATTTTTTCCGGATATTACAAAAAAATTTTCCGAATTTTTCCGGATATTTAAGGAAAAAAAGTTTCCGGATTTTTATAATATGGCCAGGATAATCTATGGATTTAAAAGTGGAATTAAATGTTGTTAACTTTTTATTCCACTATTAAAACTGATGATTTTTTCATTTCAAAAGCACATTAATTCAAAATTTCGTGAAAACTAGAATTAAAATTCATTTTTTGGTCAGTCTGTCTGGTTAAAACAATTTAATGGTTTTTAATGATTTGAAATTGAAAAAAAAGATAAGCGAATATATGTGCACAATTTATAGGCAAATATCTGCGCATACAAAATTTTCCAAACCCTAATATATATTTACATATATATATGTATATATATATATATATATATATATATATATATATATATATATATATATATATATATATATATATATATATATATATATATATATGTGTGTGTGTGTGTGTGTGTGTGTGTGTGTGTATATATGTATATATATATATATATATATATATATATATATATATATATATATATGTGTGTGTGTGTGTATATATATATATATATATATGTATATATATATATATATATATATATATGTATATATATATATATATATATATATATGTATATATATATATGTATGTATATATATATGTACATATATATGTACATATATATATACATATATATGTATATATGTATGTATATGTATATATATATGTATATATATATATATACATATATATGTATATATGTATGTATATGTATGTATATATATATATGTATATATATATATATGTATGTATGTATGTATATATGTATATCAGGCTTTCACAGGAAGACGTGCAATTTTACATCTTTATATGATCACGCAAGTTACATTTTGCTATGATGGTTTGACCGCGGCTAATTCAAAAAACATTTTAGAAACGCGCTAAATAAAAAATATTCTAAAAAAGTGAAATTAATTACATCAAAACTTCTTAACAAATCTTTTTACATTAGCGAAACGATTTTAAATAAAGTAACAATTTATTGACAATTTTGTTTTTTAAATATAATTGACAGTTGTATATATTTTTTTAATTTAAAACATATAAATTGTTTAAGTGTTCATTTCTAAAATAAATCTTATTAAAATATAAAAAATTGTTTTGTTATAAACGATAACATTCTACGACTACGAAAGTCTCTTTAACAAATTTAAATATAAGAATTATTAAAGTTAATGCATTTAAAAAGATAAACAAAATTTTTTAAAAAAAAAAGTTTTAGAAAACTGTTACAATTAAAGTTTGATCTTAAATGCTTTTATATTATCGAAACGCTTTTAATGAAGTAAAAAAAAAACACTTCTAATTAATTTTAAAAAAAGTATTAATAAAATATTTTTTTATTTTATTTATATAACTATGTATTTTTTATGAGAAATATTTAACTTTTGAACATATTAAATAAATAAAAAATATATAAAAATGTTGAAACTAAGATTGAAAAAGGTTTTTAATGCGTAAATTAAATAGACTAAGCATTTTAGTTTGAGTTTTGTTTTTGTTGCGTTATATATATATATTTATTATTTTGTGTTTTTGCTTTAACTAAGTTTTTTTTTTTATTATCTATTTCGTTAATATTTATTATTTTTAAAAAATTTTTTTTCCAGATAAGTTAAGGTAAGTTTTTGTAGCGCGTTTTTAAATTTTAAAAATATGCAGTGGTCAAATCGTTAAAACATTTTTTTTGCGTGGTCATATAAAGATGTGAAATCGCACTTCTTCCTGTGAAAGCCTGATATATATATATATATATATTTAGTAATTTATGTGTGCAAATAAAATGTATCTGAGCTTAAAATTACATTGCCTTACATGGTCTAATAAATTTATTTAAATTTTAAATTTGGGTTTCTGCTCAGCAATGGATTGTATGGGGTTAGTTATCTCTGCTTGTAATATTTCATATTACTTTATTTTACTTTTTAAGCAAAAAAAGTTTTTTGTAAAAAAATTTATGGTTTTTATTAGGATGGTCGACAGATGTATCGTGTAAAGTGGGAGCCAACATGGGAACCTGCTGAAAATCTAAGCAGCTGTCAAAAGTTAATAGATGAATTTTGGTCTTACGTCAACAAAGCCAAATCAAATCAAGAGGTTGCCCATCAACATAGGAAACGAGTAATTTAAATTTAAATTACTATAAGTAGTTGCTTAGTCAACAGAAACTGCTTTTAATTATATCAATTTCAATTTTTTTACATTTATATATCTATATTTATCTATGTCTACATTTTATATATCTATATGTGTACATTAATATATTTGTTTACATTCTTTAATTTTGAATTTTTTAAGTGATATTTAGGGAAAGCTTTTTTTGTGTGTGAATATATTCATATATTTTGTCTTATTGATATTATATTTGTATATTAAAAAAAATGTTCAGTGTTGCCAAATGGCATTTTTTAATTCTATATTTAACAAATTTTGCTATTACATGGATTTTTCAGTTTTATCAAATGAGAATACATCACAAAATACTGCAGTAAATGGAGTCTGGAGAACCGACAAAGGCCCTAAAATTTGTACCTAAAAATCCCAAGTGTAAAAGCAATTAGTTACTAAGTTTTAATATTTATCAACCGATTTTATTTTTCATTTAATAATATTTTTGTGTTTAAAAGTTATTACATGAAAAGTTTATTTCTCTTTTATTTCCGGGGAGCTATAAAACTTTACATTACTTTACATTCCGGGGGGCTTTAAAACTTTACATTGTTTTAACTCAGGTAATGAGTTACAATTGCGTAAAAATTTATATCAGCTTATGTTATATCATGGTTGCTATAAGTCTTTGTTAAATCTTGCATGAAAAAATTGCCATGGCAACACTGCTTTTTTTTGTTGTTGCTCTTTTTATAATTTTTTTTATCAATTACACTGTGTTTTGTTTCTCTTACAGTAGTTTTGTTTCTCTTACAGTATTTATTTATATTATTGTGTATTATTATTTGATATAGAGATATTGGTATGAAGAGCTTGTCAAGTACTCTGGTTGCTTTAAGTTGGATTTCTAAGCGACTCAAAGACAATACCCTAAAAAAGTACAAAATCATAAAGGTTGAAATAAATTAGTTGAACAAAAAAGAAAATCTTTAATTGTTGTGTGATGAAAAAAAGTTTAATATTTGAAAAAAAATTTAGCAAAAAGGAAAATATTTAAAAGAAATGTTGCAAATAGAAAAATATTTGGTTCGGATTTATTGTTAAATCGTTGAATGTTTGCTTTTGACTTTTCAACCTTTATATTATAAATAGTCCATCCATCCATTCAAAGTACACTTACGGTAGATTTTTTCTTAAGCTGCTTCCAGAGATTTTTTTTATTTTTATTGCTATTTTTTAACACCTTTTTAGTAAAAAAAATGTTTTAACTAGACTAGTGGTTTCAAAATGACTCAGCTTTACTAGTTTGCCTTGAAAAAAAATTAATGTTCAAAGAAAATTTTGGTATTTGGTATACAGTAGAAGTCGTGCCTATATTCTTATATCCATTTGTTTGACTTGGGTCTTTAGACTGTTTACTAAAGTTAAATTAGTTGAGCTCAAAAATCTCTCTTTAATTTTGTTGTGTGTGTTTCTCAAATCTTTCTCCAAAATTCTATGTGTAAATTCTATATTTTTAAATTCTATAGAATTTTTGATTTTGATTTAAAAAAAAATATCCATTCTGTAATCAAAATTTTGACATTCTTTATTGGCATCTCTAAGTTTTTAACTCTAACTTTCCTCTCTCTCTCTATCAGCAGTTGTGGCAACAGAACTTTCATGACATATTGCATATTTTATATTCACATCTACATTTATCCAATTTCTTAAAAGAAATTAAATTTTTTTTAAAAAGGAAGACATTTAGCTAAGTTTAAAAGTGAATATTTGAGGAGACCATCTGCAAAACGTCACAAAAATAAAAATTTTGACTTGATTCTATTTCCACGTTTTTTATACTTAATTCTATCATCTATTTAAATATTAGACCAATCAAAAAAATTTTGGTCCCAAAAATTGACAAAGAAAGTTTCTGTTGTTGCGGAACTAAAAGTAGTTTAGTTTTTTGTTTTTTTCCTTAAATCAGTTTACTCCGACTAGCACATTTTGCAAACAGGCTCCTCGTTTACTTCTTTATTTAGTTATACTGATATTATATTTAAATAAGTCAACAATATAATGTGTGTGTATATAAATACTTTATATAGTAAAAAAAAAAAAGAAATTTTGTTTTTATTATTTTTAGTTATAATCTTAGTCGTTAATAAAAATCTAATTGGAAAGATATTTTGAAGATGATAAATATTATTATTACTGTTCTTGTAAGTTTCTAATATTGTTTCCATTTTGAACTTTTTCTGTTTCACTTTTTTCGAACATAGTTTCTACCAGACCTAGAGTTAACTTGTAAAACAGGTTATTAATTATGTTTGCAATAAACAGTAGTTGCCACATTGAGGCCGATTCTAATATGCAAGTGTAGCAATTTGGTGGATTAACTTAACATCAGCATTTTCTTCTAGATTGACTTAATCATAATGACTTTATCAATAAAAAATACGAAGTGAAATGGCTGAAAATAAACATGCAATTATTGTTGTATAAAACGTTTGTCTGTAGTGTAGATCGGGCCATGTTGGCTTAGTTTTTTTAGTAACTTTTTAGATTTTTATATATTTTTTTTTTTTTTTTTTAATGAAAAAAGGTTAACAAAACCTTAGACTACTCTTAAATAATATTATTAAAATTCATAATTGGTTTTAAATATATTTTAAATTGCTTTTGCGAAGTTATGTCTGATGAGCCAATGTACCCTGCTATTGGGGTAAGTTGGTCCTATAATCCTTCAACTATAAGCTTTAAATTTAAAACATACTATTAAAGTACTATTGATCACCAGTAAGCATATTAACTTAAGAAACTGTTCAAAATTTTCTTTGATGTATCAAAGTTTGTTAAATACACACTTTTAACTATGATCCAATAAATATGATTTATTTTTAAAAAGTGGGTGGAATTACTACCGACTTTTACCTAGATTCCAAGCTAAAATGCTTAGTCTTTGCATAAACTTGACTGGGCCAACATACCTCTATGGCTGACTCAGTCTACCCTACGTATGTATTTAAACTTTGCTATGTTTTTGAAAAATATAAATTAAAAATTATAAAATATTTAAATATTCAAATTAAATAGTTATTTAATGGTGACTTTCTTTTTGTGGGCATTGTATGAATGGCAAATAACTTTCTTGCACATGGAATATATTTTCGAATATTTTGTACATTATCTTTCAAAATGTTGTTAAGTTTGATAAGGTTTTTATATATAAATATATGTAAACAAACAATCATATAAAAACAATAGTATATAGCAATTTCTATAGAAATTAATAAAGTTTCTATAGAAATTTTATTAAATTTTCTATAGACCATACGTTTCAAAAGTTTATAGAAATTTTATAGAATTTTTTAGATATTAAGATAATTGTTACATGAAATTGTGTAGGGCTTCCTAAAATGCAAATAATTGTTGTTTTTTAATATTTTAAAATAGTTTATTGAAAAAGTGGTATATCTATTAGTTCTGCTTCTGTTTTTTTTTTTTTTTTTTCCAGCTTTTTATTAATTTAGTTAATTTAAATTATTTAATTAATTTAAATGAATTAAGTTTAATTAATGATAAGTTACATTTTAAATAACTAAAGTATTTAAAGTTTATAGAAATGTTTCATTGTTTGATATGTACTCACCAGGAAGTTAGCTTCAAAATTGCATATTTGTAGTAAATTTAAAAAAAATTACTTTCAAACACACGTATCATGTGTCAACCATGCATACACTGTTACATTTTATAAAATCATACTTTCATTAACACCAATACTATAAATTCAATATGATATCAACACTATTAAAATAAAAAAAGATTGTAGTATTATTTGTGTAAAAATGTTTTACAATATTCATAATATCACATCAAAGGTATGGAAATCATCAAATTTAGTATTTAAACATGGCATCATTAAGAGCAAGAATGAAACCTATATCAAATTTTTCATAATATATAGATCCTGTAAAAGATCTTCTTTGAAGTTATTTACACTGTATGTCATATGCAGCTCTCTATTTTGTATTAAATTAAAGAGCTGCTGTGATTTCACTACATATATCAACTAAGGGTTTGGTCTTGGGCAGGTACTACCTTGATATAAAGAACTTTATTACAGTATATATTTTTTTAATTTCTTTTGTTTTTTTCTATATACACACTTATATTTATATTAGGGTGCATTAAAAGCGTCCTACTTCCAAAAAAAGATCTGGCCCTATTCTTTGGGTTTAAGTATACATTTTAGTATGTGACTTTCATTACTGAGAAAATGTCATGTCATTTTGGCTCTCAAAAGAAGCAAAATTATATTAAAATTTAAAAAATAGTTATCATTTAATAAAAAAATTATTATTTTGGATTTTACATGAAAAAATGTTTAAATATATACATATATGTTTATATATGTGTATATATGTGTGTATGTATATGTATATATATATATATATATATACATACATACATACATACATACATACATACATACATACATACATACATACATACATACATACATACATACACATATATGTATATATTTAAACATTTTTTCATTTTTTTTTTTTTTTTTTTTTTTTTTTTTTTTTTTTGCTAAAAAATATCATTGCCAGAAATGCTGTCTGAAGGCCCATGTTGCTAACTCTGGAATATTCTTCTTGATTGTCCTTTTATGATGTACTTATTGACTGATGTGTCACAATGATCTTTGTCAATAGTATGTAGTTATCATCAATAAATTCGACAATCCTTTCATTACATTTATGCAGAGATGCCATCAGCGTTACTGTTTTTTTGTAAATTGTGATGACCTACTTCAAATTGTGACATTCGTTAAGTGTGATGTAACACCAACAGCTCTAGGTCTTAGTATTTTTGGCCATGTTGCATGATACATTGTGCACCTTGGCAACTGCAAACAAGTAGAATATTTTCAGCAAAGTATTACTATATTGTCACTGCAGAAATATGGTCTAGTGTCAAACAATTCTTTGGTAAATGTCTTGATTGTGCTTTCCGTGATCTGCCATATTCTGAATATTTCATTCCTGATATCAATAGAGTCCCTACTATTACTATTAGGTGTAGGCTGTTCCACTGAGTACGATTATTACTAAGTGGAGCATCAACCATAATGCTTAAATTAATACACTACACAGTGTTTGCTTTAAGACTTTAGACTATTTTCTAACTTTGCCAAAAAAAGAAAATAAAATTAAAGAAAATGCAATATTTAGTTCTTAATTTGTTTTAGACATCATCTGAAAAAAATAACAGAAAAAACTAATGTTTCTTAAATGTTATTTAAAATAAAAAGTATTTAGAAATAAACAATATTACTGTGCTATGTAGTATTGCTTGTTTTGAAGTATATATTCTCTTTACATGATGTTCATAAATTATATTATTTTTGTGGTTATTTAAATAAAATTAAAGTTCAATGTACTTCTACAAGTAATTTTATAAAAAAAGAAATGAAATTTTTAAAGTTACAATGTTGTCATGGAAAGTGACTTTTTTTACTGTAAAGATCTTTAGCTAACCAAACAAAAATATGTGTGTGGTTTGGTGGGGAAAGTGGTAATATTTGTGTAAGAAGAGTTGTCTCATACTCATTAGTCTTTAATTTTCTTAAAATTTACTTATTTACAGCGAGAGTTTTAACAAACAGTTTTGAATTTAAGGGGATTTTGTATAAATAATTGTATTATTATTTATACAAAAACTTTTTGAATTCAAAACTGTTGAAATTATATATTTAACTTTTAGTCTTTCGGATATTTAATGTGATTAAATCTTTTTTATTTTTAGCTTAAACTTGATTCATCTAATGGAGTGAACAATATTAACATTGATGAATTTAACCAATATAAATTACATGAAGATAATAAAGCTGAAATCCAAAGACTAATAAATAAAAACACTTCAGATATTGGAAATCGAATGATGTCACCTAGCCATATGCTGAATTTACCACAAAATAATCAACAAGTATATATTTAAAATATTAAATCTTTTTTGTGTGTTACTTTTATGTAGATATATTTTTATAGCAATGACATTACTAGTTGTTATATTAATTAATAGCCAGGTGTAATTTTATGAATAGTCTTGATACTGTTCAATGTGTATTAATGTATGTTTGGATATATAATCCATTGTGAAAAATAAAAAAGTTTTAATTGATAGCCAGGTGTAATTTGATAATGAAAATAATGTAAGTCTTGATACTGTCAAAATGTATAAATACTCAAGAAAACATAAGATGAAAACTTAGGCAGAAAACATGGGGAGAGTACAAATTTTGCTAATCTAATCTCATTTGCTCCCCTCTAATGTATGATAAAAGCTTCTCTCTCATAACTTTTGTTATAACATTTAATAAGCCAGCAGAAGAATGATGATAGAAATTTGTATTTATTGTTAGCAAGTTAAATTATTCATGTGAAAAAGATTTCAATTAGAAATAACAGCTGCACAAGAAAAACATAGGGCAGGGTGAACTTAAAACCAACAAAAAGGAATAAAAGCTTCCATGCCTGAATCCAAGAGATTACTGAGGGGTAAATTATGGTAAATTAAAGCAGGTTAAATTTTCAGCAGAGATAAAAGACAGCCTAAAGACCATTACAAAAAAAAAAAAAATCACAAAATGAATCCCAGTCAGCCTTAAGACTGGTGTAAAAGAAGTAAAAAGTAAAAGAGAGAACAAGGGAATTCTGTGCACAAGCTAGGGTCAATGACAAAACACAAATCATGAGGTGATAATATGTAATAAGAGTTGTCTGGACAACAAGTCCCAATTTATTTATTCTATTTATCATTTCTATTTGAGATTTATTATTTCTATTTAAAAAACCAAAAATCTTGAGCTTCAAAGGTAGCTGTAGTTAATAGAGCCTAGCCATTTCAGTGTGATATGCATCAAGGTCACCAATAACAATATTGGCTGATAAATAAACTAAAATAGTTTAGTCAATTCGATCAGAAATTTTTAAAATAAAAGAACAACAAGAAAGCAACTGAGTGAAGAGGAGTTTAAACAAAACCACTTATATAGTTGTAGAATTTAATGATTTCAAAACAAAGAAGTGAATATGTAAGTATATGGCCAGGCCAAGCATGTGGCTATTGGAGTCTTCTCAAATAAAAAAATAATAGCTATCAAAACTGAGTTCTTAAATTGAAACAGATTAGTCTGGTATAGCGCATTAGTCTGGTATAGCGCAGATCTGGTGAATTTTGTGTAAGTATAAGTAGATCTGGTGAATTTTGAAATTGATAAATTCCAAAAATATTAATACTATTAATACACTAATACTAATTTTAAAAAAAGAAGTACTGCTAGTATTTTTAAAAAGTTTAAATTTTTTGCACTGCTTTTATGCTGCACATTTTGCATAATTTTAGTTTTTTAAAAGAGGTCTATTGAGAAAAATATGAAATTCCCCTCATAATGTATTAATTTAGTTTCATTATTTGTTTTTAAATTATTTTTAACTGTTTTCTTTGTTAAAAGACAAAATTGTTCATAAATTTTATTTGTTTTTGAAGAATATGATGGCCATGCCCCGTACACCTCAGTCAGTTCCTATGTCTCCAAATATTATTCAACAAATGCGACCTTTAGTCAGTTCACCCCAACAATTCAACTCTCCTCAACGTGCCAAAGTTCCTCTCAACTTTGGAAATGAAATGAAGCAAGAATCTGAAGAAAATGTAAGTGTTCCATGAATCTTATATTTTTAAAAAGTTTTTTAAATTTTATGTTTGACAGTCAAAAAGCACTACTTATGGCTGTCTTGTCAAATGACAAATGTTGCATTAAACAATATTTTCTGCTAAATATCTTGCAGTCAACTCTCTCATAAGAGGTTAAAGTAAATGTATAGGCTGTTAAAATATGAAGAGAGAAAAAAAAATGTTAAAAAATGATAAAGGTTAGGTTCATTCAAAAATTTATAGTGTTAATTTGAGATATTTTATTTTTCTTGAATAGAAAATTAGCAGTTAAATATCTTAGTTAATTAATTACGCTTTATAAGTGACCACTTTTAAGGTAAATTTTTAAAATAACGGAGTTATGGAAATGGATAACACTATAAATTTTTGATTGAACCTAACCTTATTATGTTGGTATTGTGATTATGTCGGTATTGTTGATGTCATTTACTAAGCAGCGGTGGTGTTGGTATTATGTTGAGATTGTGATGATACAGCATTTACTAAGCAGTAGTGTTGATATGCAACATTGATGAAAAGATGTTTGACATGCATCATATCCAAGGAAATAAATAACAGTTTTTTTTTAAGGTGTAAGTTTCTAAAAATTCTGTTTTAAAGTAGGTATTAATTCAAGAAACTGTATATACTTGCATCAAAAAACTATAGGCTATATCATTTTTGAGCGATTTTCTTAGTTACCATTAAAATAAACCAACATTTTGAAATATTCCGGTACATACTATCTCAAGTAAAGTTTTCAAAACCTTTGGCTGATCATTAATAACACATTGATCTCAAATCTGAACTAATGATAATACCGAGTTTTTAAGAGTTACTAAGAAGAATTTGTCACGAATTTTTCTTTCTTTAAATCACAACGACTTTTTAGTATTTAAAAACTTTTTGCTTCTATTGCAATTTTGAATTTTATACAAATTGAGAATGGTTTTGATGAAAAATATATAGCTTATGTCTTAATTAATTGTTCTATTATTTGTGAACTTAGTTTGTTCCAATTATTTAAAATTTTGTTGTTGTGTTATGGCAATCTTTGCAAGTTTTTATGATCTACTTTATGATGGTTGGTATCTCATAAGTTTATCCATATTGTTATCCCTTTTGGATTTTGTTTCTCTTGATCATCACTTGTTCTTTGCATTTCTAAAGACAGAGTTCCAAATATTTTTAGCATGTCTTTGCAGCTGTAATTGATTTTTGTTACTCTTCTTTGTAAAATTTTTACAGTTTAACTTTTACAATACAAAGTATAGTATATTACATAAATACATAAGTACAAAGAAGACTTCTATTTTTTTAAAAATAATTTTTAGGGATTTTATACTTTAAGCAGTTAATTTTATCAGAAAGTTAAAGAGTTAAATTGTTGAGTTAATTAATTTTTAGTCTTCGTTGGCTCATTAAACATAGACCCCTAGTTCACTCAATTTTATTCTTTGTAGTTGGTTTTATCTTGTAAGGTTAGTTTTGTTTTTCAATGAGAGAGTTTACTGCAAATGAAAATAGTTAAGTAAAATTTTTCCATCGAAATTTAGATGGCTCTAAATGTCGATGTATCATCAGAAAATTCTTTTGCTAATTGGACCAACCCATATGTGACTGTTCATTTCAAGTGTCGAGTTTGCGCTAAGGAATTACCTAAGTCTAATTACTGGAAAAAACATTACTCTTTTCACTCTGCTGAAAGACAATTTCAATGTTCTGTTTGTGGAAAATCATTCAAGCAGTCTTGCGATTTAAAGCGCCACGAAAAGATACATAGTCGTGATATATTGAAACAAAATTTGAATTTGTCGATGCATCAACAAGAAACATTTTGACAGAGTGCGCGTGTGTGAATATATTTTTGACATGTCTTTCAGTTATTTTTGTTGTTGTTTGTTTTTTTTATTTAAAAAAAAAAACAAACAAAGAAATTCAGTATTTCTACAATTCTTTATAGAAAAAAATTGATGTGAAAAAACCAACAAATGTTGATAGCTTTGATAACCCATATGTTAGAATTGCTTACCTTTGCAGAGTATGTGGTAAAGAGCAGTCACAAAAATTTAAATTTGATTGGAAGCGTCATTTTTTGACTCATCAAACTGGTTCAAAGGCATTTCAATGTGAAATTTGTGGGAAAAGCTTTGCTCAAAATGGACTGTTACAAAAACACATGAAACGTCATCAAAGTCAACTTCCAAGTAAACAGAGTGATCTAAAAACTGAACAAGACGGATTCACTAGCTGGTAGATTAAGCTGTTATCTCTACTGTTTACATAATTTTGTGCCATAATGGTTTATAAGTTAATAAATTTTTATATTCTCTTATGAGGGAGTTTCCTGCAATCAGTGCATGAAAAGTGAAAAAAATACTTTTTTTAACTTTTGCTTTAGGCATCTTTAAAGAAGAATGATTCGAGTACCTCTAGCCTTAAGTATTTGGAAAACTTTACTAATCCTTATGTAAAAATTATATTAGCATGCAAAATTTGTAATAAAGAGCAGTCTTTAAAGTTTGCTGCTACTTGGAAACGACATTACCTAACGCATGCTCCTAAAGAAGATCTTCCTCACAAATGTCCATTTTGTGGTAAAGGTTACGTTACATCAACAAATTTGAAAAATCATCTCAAAAAGCATAATAAAAAAACATTTCAAAATGAACTCTATGAACAGCAGTTTGAATAATGATTTTCATGTTTTATTGTTGTTTTATTAATTATATTGTAAGTATGGAAGTATTTTATTATAAATATGCTTGTATTCGTTCAATATTTATGCATATGCATATGACGTAAACTTGTCATTGACGTATTTATGACCGTGTTTATTTTCGCACATGAACCTAAAAATTAATTGAGTTTAGATATTCAATATGTTGTGTATATGTGTATATATGTATGTATGTATATATATATATATATATATATATATATATATAATATATATATATATATATATATATATATATATATATATATATATATATATATATATATATATATATATATATATATATATATATAATGGAAACATTTTCTTAGAGAGAGTTGACTGTCACATTAAGGATAGCTTTTTTTATCGAATAAATTCTCTTGCTTTTAGTCCAGCCAAAGTTGCAAAGGAAAGACTAGCAATACTTCGAGTTTAAAATATGTAGAGAGTTTTCAAAACCCATACGTTAAGCTTATTGTTGTGTGTAAAGTTTGCAATAAAGAACAAAGTCTTAAGTTTGCACATAATTGGAAAACTCATTATTTAAGTCATGTTTCAAACGAGGAAAAACCTCATAAATGTCATTTGTGTCCAAATGCGTTTGTAACTGCACCTCAGTTAAAAAAACATTTGCTAAAGCATGAAAAGCAGGAATGTGTAGATAGCAAGATGAAGTTAGAATACTGGTAGCAATATCTTAGTTTGAACTTTTACACTTTGATTCAAACTTTTGCCTAAAAGTTTATGAGTTATTGTGTGTTTGTTTTATTTATTTTCATTGAAGTCCAAATTTACTAGATTATTCAGTATTAAATTTTTCCGTTCGAAATAATGTGTTAAAACTCGAGTATATCGAGTCTGATGTACTAATCAGAACAAACATCTTGGTTCAAAAATATAGATTTAGAAATTGTTTTAGTTTTAATTCTTCTTATAGAAACAAAGTTTACCATCAAGTGTAAAGTACTTGGAGAATTTCTCAAATCCTTATGTTAAGATAATCGTTGTTTGTAAGATTTGTAATCGCGAGCAGTCATTTAAAAGATCATCCAATTGGAAAGCTCATTTTATGACGCATTCTGATAAAAAGCCTCATTCGTGTTTACATTGTGAAAAATCTTATATTCGGGCGGACCAGTTAAGGAAGCACGTTGAAAAAGAACATTCTTATTCGAATCAGGATATAAGATATAAAAGCGAGTGGAATCAATGAGTGGGATGCATCCTTTGTAAAGAGTATTGAGTTTTTTCTTACCAAACCTATAATAAAAATCTTCAAGAAAAAACAAGTCTTGAGTTTTAAAGTTAGCTATACTATTATTATTCGAAATTTAATAACTGCGCTGATTTAGTTGCACGGCCGAAGCCACTGTCCTAATTATATAACATAAATGAGGTTTGAGGTTATTTGCAAACTTAAATGAATTCCTTTTTATTTTGCAGAATTCAAAAAGTGATTTGTTGAGAAGTGTGCCTGGCTCAGTTAACTCTGCTCTGCAATATGTTCAAAATTTTGAAAATCCTTACGTTAAGATTATACTAGTTTGTAAGCTTTGCTCTAAACCAATGCCTCTTAAATTTTCAAGTAATTGGAAGAAACATTATTTGACGCATGCATCCGATGCTGAAAAACCTCACAAGTGCGAAGTGTGTTTTAAAGCATTTATAACAGCCACTGCACTTAAAAAGCATTTTCAAAGTAAACACCAATGTGTTAAAACTGAACTGTAAATAATTATAATAAAAAAACCTAAAGCGATGATCTAGATTTAGTTTTATGTGCCATCCTTTTGTTTTTAAGGAACATAGAAAATGTTACTGTGATAGTTATTAAATTTTTGTTTTCCCAGTTGTCTTTTTTTTTCTTTGTTTGATAACTATTTTATTTATAGTCGCGCCGAAAGTAACTGTAAACTTGCTGTTGAAAAGGATATTTATTTTTAATTGAAAGCATAATCTATTGTAAAACTCTATATTTAATAATGCATTCATTGCTATTTATAAGTGAGAAACTGCGCTTTAATATCTGAATTAGGAATTATGTAAATTTCTCGCCCTTTTGAATAATTAGATATTGCAATTTTTTTAACTGGTTTGAACAAGCATTGTGAAATTGTTAATATAGCAACTTAGAAATATACCATACTACAAGTATGGTATATTTCTAAGTAATGTCATACTGTGGTACTGTAACACTATTTTATGGAATTATATTTTAATTAATTTATTTAAGGTGGATAACCACAAAAAAATTAATTTTAGGCTTTGTTATAAACCTTTTAAAATACCAACTGATTTAATTTAATCTTTCTTTTTTTTTTTTTTAATTTTAATATTTCTTGCAACGTAAATATTGTTAAACAGAGAGAATAATTCCATTGATGGCCAACTTAATTAAAATTAAGTTAGCCATCAATGGTTCATTTTTTTTTTTTTTTTTTAATAAACTTTTTACCTACACTCGCAACGCATTTTTATATTTGATGTTTTTTAGTAGGTTTTTAATGGCAAAACATTAAAATATCAAAAAAATCAATCGAAATTTAAAAATGTAAATCATATACTCTCTTCATCTGGGTATGTTTAATAACTCTTGAAAATTTGAAGTGGTTTAACTTATCATGAGATATGTTTCAAGTCAAGGTAATTATCCTTAAGATAAAAATCTGACAAGAAATTAATAGCATAAGAGATCTAAAATGACAAAATTTGTTATGACGTTTTTTTTATATTATCAATGCTATCTTTTTTTAAGGCTTATAACTCTTCTGTTTTTAAATCTTATAACTCTTTTATTAATAACTTTGATACTATCTTTTTTAAGCATGTTTTTCTAAACGCTTTGTTTCTTATTGATGAAATACCGATGTTTTTTTTATATCAAATTTTATATTAAAAAAATATCAAAACTCTTTCAAAGCCGTATTTAGTATCCATCATTGGAATAAAGAATTGCAATACCCAGTTCATGCAAAATGCTTGCAAACAAAAATGTTTTTAAGACATTGATGTGGGTAAAAATTTCTCAAAAAACACAAATCTGCACCCTACATCACCAAAATTTTTGAAACTTGCCTCAAATGTTTATAGGCATATGTTAGGAAAAATTGTAATTTTTTTTCATATAATTCCTTACCGATTATAATTCATAGCAATTTGAAGTTTCCTTGATTTTGACTAAAAACTGAGGGTTTAAAACCTGTTAAATCCAAAAAATATAGTTTTTTATATGTCAAAACAAGAGAATGTAGCTTATTTTAAGATCCATAAAATACACTTTATAACGCCGAGAAAAAAAATCATTGAAAATTGAGCCCATAAGAGTAAAAGTGGACCATGTTTCTATATTGTTAGAAATAAGCGTTCTTAGTGTTTGCATATATTATAAATCAGCCATATGTAGTATTATTGATGTCTAGTATCATTTTAAATCTTTTTTCTTAGACAACAAGATATGCGAAATGCACAAATAAATTTTTTAATAATTATTAATAATATAATAATAGTTATGGACATGGTCCATTTTTTCTCTAAACATAATCAACAAATCGCTAAATTATTTTAGTGTAAAATCATGAACAAATTTCATATTATTCGTTTACAATAGCAATTCAAATTAAGACAAGTAGTACAAATTCATACTATGTTGTACAAAAACAATTACTATTTACTAATTATCGACAAAAATAGTCCTCATTATTACAAACAGTACAATAAAAACCACACGAATTTACTGATCATCATCGCCGCTGTCATCAAGCAGGTCATCTTCTAGTACATCCTTGTTGTGACCGCTGTGTTCCAACTTTTGATAGAAGTCATGATAGATGGGAGGAATATACTTTAACATTTGATAGAAGTCATGATAGATGGAAGGAATATACTTTAACATTTGATAGAAGTCATGATAGATGGGTGGAATATACTTTAACATTTGATAGAAGTCATGATAGATGGGTGGAATATACTTTAACTTTTGATAGAAGTCATGATAGATGGGTGGAATATACTTTTAATAGAAATCATTTTTACTTTAACAGTTTTCATTAGATCTGAGTATTTTTCTTTGCTCAGTTTTGTTGTTCCACAGTACAGTGGAGCCAAACTCACTTCACTAAGATTCGTTTGACGTCCGCGTTTCGCTAGCGAAATGAAACTGAATGATGCGTCATCATCTAAAGAGTATTTAAAGAACAGTTTGTATGGCTCGTTTTTTCTAAGTTGCAGCCATTGCATATCCAGCCAGTTGACCTTCTGATCACTCTCATCAACTTTCTGATTTGTAATTAATTTCAATAAGGGCTCCACACTCTTGAAATTATCAGTGCTTAATCTTGCAACACTGAAGCGCTTCTTCATAGAGCAGTTCTCAATCAATTTGTACCACTGTTCTGGCACAAAGATCTCTGTGGATTTTGGTTTTGCTCTCTCAATTATTCCAAAATCTGCATCGTTAGGCAAATAAGAATGCCCAGAGACCATAAACTTATGATTCACCAGTTCAATACTCGTCGTCTGCGTCAAATGCATCCATAACAGTGCAATTTTTATATTTCGATTTTGGCCGCCGCACGAGTCGCTGAATGCTGTAATAGACGTAATAACCCTATTTGCCAGATTTTGACAATATGACAATAAGCATGAACCGATCTCACCTGCACCTCGTGAGGCTGTTCCCTCATGCCATACATTCATCACTGCATTGTCATTTTTAAGGTCATAAATGCCTAGATTATACACAGATAATTGCCGGCAATAATAAACTTCATTGGTTGTAAAGCAAGGCAATGACATGACCTTTTGCAGGTCAAAACAAAAAGATGCATGTTTATTGTCTTCATTTTCCTTTTCTAATTTTAAGGATTGACGCGCCTTCTCTGCTTTGCGCAAATGAATCTCATGCGCTGCTTTTAGTTGAGATTTTTTGTGTTCAGTTTTTACTATTTCAATGTCTGTTTTAAAAATGTCACATTTCTTGCACGTTTCTTTTAGTGGCTGTTGGAACGTCAAGTTAAATTCATGATTAAAAATGTCCCGAAATTTCCACTCTTTTGGGGGTTCGACTGAATCCTGTATGCATTTTTCTCTATACATGTCGTACATAGTGGATACCGTCAAATGAGCAGGTAGAAAGCGGCGAGATGCACTGTGACTTCTAGTATAGTGACTTTCGTATGTGGGAAACATGCGAATATGATCTTTAATGCGAGTGATGTGTTCCTCATGAATGCGTTGTGTCTTGTGATCATATTTTCCTCGTCCATCTTTGCCTGACACACCACCATTCTCCCGTTGGTTGACTAACGCACGATTTAGTCGACCGCTCCTAATGTCAAATATCGCCAAGAAGTATGGTTTGTAAACAGTAACGGGCTTATTATCTGCAAACACAGAGTATACTCGTGCAAAATCCTTTGCATGTTTTTTTTCATTTTTCGTAATTTTGTTTTTTCTTACTCTTGGTCGTCTACGTTCTACTGTTGATTGTTTCACGCAGCCAGCAAGAAACAGATTTTGTGCATCAAAATCTCCCAATTTCCAGAAATTTTCAAACAGAGTTTTAGTCTGCTCTAAAGTCAAATTTTCAGCACATTTGTTTTTGCAACTGTGATTTATTAAATAATGTTCGTTTAATTTCTTAGCTTTTTGTAACGTTCCGCCATGCTTTACATATTCGCTACCTGTATTTCGTAAGCGCTTAATCGCATTTTTCTTCCAGTTCGTTACACAACGTTTTCGTTTTCGAGGGCGTTGATCGGTTACAATCGGAGATTCAGTTGTTACAATCGGAGATTCAACTGCTACAACCGGTGAATTATCGGCTACAATCGGAGATTCAGCTGCTAATGTAGAACGTTCTGTCAGTATATCTGCTGCTAAGTTAGGATCTGAAATGGTTGTATCTGTAGCTAG